TTGCTATAGCGCCCCCCTTTGGCCAATTGAAGTAATATTGCTTCATTTGCATCCTCCCATGACCCTCTACCACTGTGCCAAATTTCACATGGATTGACCAAGTCAGTGAGGAGAAAAACTTGGAACAGACACACAGACACACCCACAGACAGAGTTTTCGTCATTATATAGTAAGATTACAAATCCTAAAATATGCTGCCTATAAAAAGTGTTTCCTTGAGCCAGTTGAAGGCACAGTACAAATGCAAGTGTGTACATGATCAGGATGGTTCCATCTCCCCCTCATTTTGAGCCAGTAAAAACTCTGACAGGTAGTTGCTAACTGTGTCTGTCTGCTGTTTGGTGCTGAGCGAGTAGTGAACCGTGGGTTTAGAGCTCTGTGCTGAAAACAGCTGCCTGCTGCAGCTGAAAACAACGCTATGACAGCAGTGAGAGTGAAGCAAAACAGTAAAATTGTGGTGTGGACAGCTAAACAATGAGCTGAAATGCACTATAAAGCTCAGTAAAGCAAACAGGAGCTGCAGATTCAGGTGGTAATCCTCTGGAGGTTCATGACTGCAAGCAATCCCTTTGACTTGGCCAGTTAAAAACAATGCTATAATGAGGATGTTGACTATAACCGCTTTAATTTACATGCATCCCTGTAAGTGTTGCTGGCATTCTCTGATAAGTCTTCCCAGCCTACAGCCGTATACTGTAACCTATGTATGGTGCTGTTTGTCTATTATGAACTTTATATGACCTAACTCATTGTGATCTGATCGTGTGTACGGATGATTAGATGTAGTCATGATTGCTTCTGATCAGTGAGAATTTCTTCATTTACTCAGAAAGCAAATGAAAAAACTCCAGAGAAAGCAGGCAACCGCAGTCAAATGATGCCCATTAGTGTCGCACGCAGCTCTGATAGACAAGCTATTGCATTGGTCCTAATTGCAAACTCAGACACACGCCCACATGTTTGCTCACAGCGTCGCCTACATTTCTGCCTCATCTAACACACATAGTTGGCAGGGTAAGAGCCGGGGGGGGTGATCAAAATCACGTCTTGAAAACTCTGTTGATTCAGGCTATATTTGACGCTTCTTGGCTCCTAGCTGGGGCATTACATAACGAGTGGCGCTTTCATTAATTAGTATTTTCGAAATATTAACCTTGCATCCTCCCCCGGGGCGGGAGTGTACTGCTGTCACGCTAATGTGTGAAAACAACAAAGCCGCAGAGGGCACGTCTCTGCTTTGCTTCAGATCTCGGTGCCTTTTAGCGACAGCCAGGCTCGGAGCGAAGCGCTTACGAGAAGCTGGACCTGTCTGAGCTTTCTGCTTGATATCTGGTGAAAAACACAAACTATCTACAGGCAGACTAACTTCACAAGTTAAAGTGAGACAGTAGCAGAAGGCTGGCAGCTTGTCTGTGGGGCTGGTGGCTGTCTGCTGAGATTTACTCGTGTCTTTTTCAATTTCAATTCATTTACATACTTAAAAAGGCCAAAAACATTCAAGGAGTTCTTGTGGCATTGCCAAGTAATCTCTGCGGGAGGGCGATAACGTGCCACGGCCAACTGAATTTCAAAGCAGAGAAGTCAGGTTTGATTTTCTTCTGGCAACGGTCTGAGCTTTTTGAGCCTTTGTTTGGCAACTGTCCTCCTCAGGCGTAATCTAATCTCTAAATGATGTCATCAGCAACTGTACCAGAAGTGGGGCATCATCGACATCCGGCAACATGACTCAAGCATGAGGCACATAGTGGTTTCATCATGCACGGTCGTTTCATCAAGAGCGACTGTGAGAGGCTTTAGTCAGCCTTCAGCCATATTTGTCACTAAGTAATGAGCAGGAGGACAGAGTGGACACAAATCACCAGCTAAGGGTTGTTTAGCATCGATTAGTTCCACACCGTACACGCCACCAAGCTGAATACAGCTCAAGATAACTGACATTTCAATGAGATGCATTAGGGTAGACACTGATGCCGTCTTAATTGAGATTGGGTTTGTGTGTGAGAGAAAGAGCTGCTGCACTGAATCGAACACAATTTGTGAAGGAGTCTGTTGTTTTAGCTCACAATCACACAGAGGATTGAGAAAACACGAACAAAACCCCCACAGCACATCTTCAAACCAACAGAGAAGAAGTTATTGACTGGACACAATCAAAACATATAACGCTATACGCTCACATTTTGAATCTGCCTTAATAAAAACAGGAGAATAAAATATACTAGTGCAGTATTTGTTTCAACACAGCTCCAACAGAGGTCACAAAGCCTGTGTGGATCCTCCTCTCAAGTACTTTTATGAAAATACACATCACCCTATGGGTACGTGCGATGTAATAGAGGTGGGAACGAGAGAAAATACCCTCTCCACATTAATGGATGTAGGCAGATGGTGTGGGTGTTGAAAAGTGCCTTTAATGTTGAGAGATGGCACCAGTTTATAATAATGAAGCCGAGCAAGTGGCAGGAGGAGTCACAGAGCTCAGGATTTATAGTGAAATGATAATATATCATTGAGGAGGGTGTAAAATAGACTGAAAAATTGCCGTGGTTGGATATATCAGCTGTTATTAGCGTATTCCAGTCAGCCAGGAGGTGACAAGAACTGGCAGTACTGAGAAGCAAACCATATGTTTGAGGTAATTTAGAAATTAATGTCACGCAGTTTGTCCACAAGGGAAGACTAACAAGTTTATATTTCACCTGTCACAATCATTAAAGCTGCTATAATCTATATTTTTAATTAACTACAGATCACATGGCGACATATATGTGGAAGGGGTCGCTGGTAGTGACAATCTCACAAAGGCTCAGCACCCAACTTTAAGGCCGGGACTGCCCATTGTTCCAATGACCTAAAATTCCGAAGCTCCGTTAGTCCGATAAAAGCCACGTTGGACAAAAAATCCATCTCTCCGACATCCTGTAATCCCAAAAACAAATGCCCATTGCTGACAGCTAGACATCCCAAACACCAGAAAAGTTTACACTATCCATTTCTGTAAACCACAGATACGTTACATTTGTCAACAACACTGTGATGAATATGTGGTTAGGTTTAGGCACAAAACCCCATGTTTATGGTTAGGAAAAGATCATGTTTTGGCTTAAAAAACACTAAGTTGGCCACTCAAAATCATTGGAAAGCAGGGAATCAGTGGCCCAAATACCACTGAGAAACTGAAACTAACTGCAGAGAGTGTGTATCTTTGGATAAACACAACCTCAGAGAAATGGGCATTGGTTTTTGGGATAATGGGCTATCGGAAAAATTGGCTACATGGGACATTATTTGGACTAATTGGGCTTTGGAATCTTGCGCTGTTGGAACAATGGCATGGCACCCTTTGCAGTTCCCCTCAGCTCTACAGGTGTTTTAGCATCTTTTTACAGCAACTACTGTTTTGCCACATTTATCTGCATTTCAGCAGTGGCACACTGACACTGACATAGCCCTAAAATCATACTGTATGCTACCTGTTCAGCAGGAAACAGCAGACACGGGAAGATTAGCTGGTGAACATAGAGGAGCAGCTAGTTGCTAAAGAGACAGATTTTTCCCTCAGGAGTGGGTAGAGACCAAAAACAGAGCTAAAAGACAGTATAAATTGGAATTACATTCGCAAGGTGGCCGAAAACATAACTTCAAATGAATGCTAATGTTGCTAATGTATCTGCGAAATATGATAGGCAATGAAAATATGCTAACAAGTTAGCCACATCATATTAAAAGCTGATAATATGTAAATGTTGGCAAGGGGCCACAATCTGTCATTGCAGGTTTAAAAATAACAAATGTAATGGCGCCATGTGGAGTTTTCTTGTAAACAAACAAAAGTTATGTTTATATTCTCGTTCTCACCAGAATATGAGGCCTATCAAATGAGATGATGGCACTATAAAAGACATCTGAATAAATGTTAAATATAATAGAAACATTTTAATATAATATTTTAGGTTGTATTCTTTGCTCCATTTGTCAGAGCACAAGTTGCCACCATAGCATGAATGAAATCCCCAGGAGGATTTAAATCATGCCATCATGTGCTTGTGCATGTGCAAAAAACGTTGTGTATGTTATGGGTTTGTGTAAATAAATTAACATTAGCTGATATATTGTTTTCATTTTTTTTAAAAAAAATACCAATAGAGGTATTGGTCTGAAAAACACAGCATCTTTTGGGTTCTCATGTAAAATGGGAGTAAACATTTCTTAGTTTAATTTCATTCCATATCCACTGAATTTAAAACTGAAACTTAACATTCAGACCTTTAATACATTATCAGCTGTCAAAAGCTGCATCAATTACTCTGAGAATGAAAGTATATATATAAAAAAAACATCTGCACTCTCATGAATTGTTTTTCTGAGCCCTGCTTTTATTTGGGGTATGGATTAAGGCTCAGAAATGTAATCTGTTATTAGAGCAATGGTTAAAAAATATAATCCCTTTCTCAAAGGTAATCAAGATGAGCTTTTAAAAGCATTTTATGATAATTTGTGTGTGCATCCTCCAGTTTTCAGGGAGGGGAGGTGGAAGGGTTGCCAGACTATGACACTTGTCCCTGAGAGTTTATGTGTTCACAGCTGAAGGAAAAGTGACAGTTAAATGGTTTCACTTTGGTTACTGTGGAGCCTCTTCTTGACCTCTCCTGCTGCCTAATGGACTCCCTGCGTGACCACCTCAGTGCTCTTGGGGGGGGGGGCACTGAGGAAATGTGCAACCTCTCCCTCTCCGCTTTCACCTACAGTGGTATTTAAAAATTACAGATAAATGCATAGGTGACATTTCCACTATACAATTCATTTTAACTGGGAGGATGTTCCCACAGCTGGTGTGGGAAACGTGTCCAGCTCCACACAACATTTACATCCATCTGAAGACGAGAAGACAAACACACGCCGAGCCAGTCACGCCATATGGGCTGAGCGCGCGTGTGTATGGAAGACAGAGAAGGGCACCTTTAAAATACATTTGTGCGTAATTATATGGGTCTCTTACCTGATGTGATGGTGATGAATGAGACAGTCACAAGAAGTAAATTTCCAAAGTTCATCTCCACACTCTCCCGAGTCTGCAGCCTCCTGAGAGTCCAGTCAGATAATCAATTGACTCAAACCTCCAGATTTGTTTTTAACTAAAACCAAGAAAAGCTGAACCGGTTTCAGGAGTCGGAGCCTCAGCTGGAATATTTCAAGCGCGTAAAATCATCCCCACCCCCGAAAAAAACTTTCATGTCACTCCCAGAAAACCATGACAGCAGCAGGATCAGCAGCAGCAGCAGCAGCACCGCCCCGGAGAAACCTAATAACAAAACTCAGCAGCAGCACTTCTTCATCCCCGCATGGTCACACACACACGCACACACACATACGCCCACTTCTTTCTAAGATGCCCTGCTGCTGCTGAAAACACAAAACAGGAGGTTTAACTATATTTAGCCCGGCCATAAATAAAATAAATCCTCCCGCTCTCTCTGTCTGCTCTGATCCGGCCAGTTGCAGGTTGCGGCGTCAGTTTGAGCGAGAATGAAGCGCTGCACATGCCGAGCTGAGCTCCGCACTCCCTGCTATCCGCAACAAATCCTCGCCAACCTCCAGGAGTCAGTGTTTTAAAGAGACAGAGACGACATCTGCGCCCTGTGTGTGTGCATGTGTGTGTGATCTCCAGCTATGTGACATCCGGAAAGTCATGCAATGAGATAAAACTTAATAAAAGGAGAGTTATTTATGAGTTAGGGTCATTACTGAAGTTACACACATCAACATGAGCGTTGGATTTTTTAAAGGTTCAGTGTTTGGTGGCTTCTATTGATGGAAATAGTATGCAATATCCATATTATATTAGTTTATAATAAACTGAGAAAAAGGATTGTTGTGTATTCTTAACCTGTATATCTACAAACAGAGCGGGTCCTCCAGCAGGAAGTTCGCCATGTTGTTCTACAGTAGCCCAGAATGGACAAATCAGACACCAGCTCTAAAAAGGGCCATATCCGCCATCAGTTACTGTCTCCTACGCACTTGGCACATGTGTGAAGTTTCAGTTCCGCAACTTCACCACTAGATGCAACTAAATCCTACACGCTGGAGCATTAAGTTTTAGGTCATGAATAAAATAGGTTTTAAAGTTTAGGTATGGGAAATTAGATTTGAGTCTAAAATCTTAACAGAAGAAACTAAAGTAAAAAGTCCTTAAAGGCTAGTAGGATTCATGCTGCATTTGGAATCAAATGCAGCATTGGAACCAGATTTTTGTGGACTAGTGCAAGATGGTAAAATTAGATGAGGCCAGCAGAAAACACCAGCAACATGAACAATAGACAACACTGCTGTTCAGAGTTAAAATAGCTATTTTAACTTTTTGCTGTCCTCCGCAACACAATTCTCAACTAGATGTTGCATACCTTCCTTGCACAAGAAGAAAAAACAGGCAATTCCCGGACATTACTAGAAAAAATACATAAAATAATAAACACAAAAGTATTTTATTTGATATATTTTATTCCATATTTTGTAAAAAAAAATAAATAAAATATATATATAAATATGTTTTCGGCATTGCAACAGTTCGGAACACACTGGCTTATTAACATTAGATTAGCTTGGCTCATCATTAGCTGGTAACTAGCTTCTAGTGGTAGGGACCACCCTGCAGAATGAAGGATGGTGAAGCGTTCTGGTGCTGTTCACCAACAGTGGCTTTATTGCAGTCTTTACCACAAAACAGTAAACATTGCCCTCTCATGAGGTCTAACAGTAACCATGACACTTAACTCTACTACTACTAATCACTATTTACTGCATGGGTCTTCATCACGACACACACCAAGAGAGCAACTTCCCTCAGTACACGTCACACCCTCACAGGTTACCCACAAGGCCACTGCACTTAAAGGGGAAAAATGGTGAGCTAGTAACACGTTACATTTTACCTTCCCGACATTCTGTTGGACCGCTTGTTTTTCACGTCCCCTCCAAAAGGTGTTCATCTGCCATCTACAGTCTCCCTGGTTCAATGTGAATGCAGCATTCATGGCATGTAGTGGTGAGGTCGCAGACTGCAAACATCTCAAACTTCTGCTGTGTGCCAAAGAAGAGCTACGGTGGTGAAATACGAAAACACAAATGGCCCGATCTACAGTCAGTGTTTCGTTTGTCTGTTCTTAGGGACTCTGGTAAGGAAAAAACAACTATTCTTATTTTTAGGTGATTATAAACCTAGGAAAATACATCCATCCATCCATCTTCTAACTGCTTCATCCTCTTGAGGGTCACGGGGGGGCTGGAGCCTATCCCAGCTGACATTGGGCGAGAGGCAGGGTACACCCTGGACAGGTCGCCAGACTATCGCAGGGTTGACACATAGAGACAAACAACCATTCACACCTACAGACAACTTAGAGTTATCAATTAACCTAGTCCCCAATCTGCATGTCTTTGGACTGTGGGAGGAAGCCGGAGTGCTCGGAGAGAACCCATGCTGACACGGGGAGAACATGCAAACTCCGCACAGAAGGGCTCCCCCATCAGGATCGAACCGGCAACCCTCTTGCTGTGAGGCGACAGCGCTAACCACCACACCACCGTGCCGCCCCCTAGGAAAATACAGTCACAAATAATAGCCTATACTCCATTTCTGCCAATAGAAGCCCCTAAATCCTACACACTGGACCCTTAAAACAGGGTTGGGCTATAATCGAATGTAGATGGTTAAATTAGCCCTGGGTCTAAGGGTGGTCTGGGTCGCAGGATTTTTTTTTTTTGTTCTTTGTTTCTTATTGGCCAAAAGCCAAGACTGTTGAAAGCCACTGGGTTAGAGGTTAAATTTTAGGCTAATTTAGTTTTTTTAATGAAGACTTCAGGTTAACTATAAGGTTCTGATTCAAGTTTTGGGGTTGCAAGTCTAAAATGTTTTAGCACAACTGTGTAGTCCTGTATACTGTAGCTCTTAAAAAGACTGGAAATTATTCAAGTGAATCAAATGAGGGAACCCTGCATGTACCGTGATTGTAAATGGACTGCACTTATGCAAAGGCTTTTTTTATCTGAGGCACTTACACTAATGGCAGCGAGAGCTTCCATTCATGCAAGGTGCTGTATGTGTTTATTAATTTGTGAAGCTACGCTTGTAAGTTTATTTGTGTAATTTTTTATTAGTTGCTTTTCAAAATGTTGATTCAACAGGAAGACCAGCATTAATGTCAGTGAAGTATACAGCTTACATTTCTGTGCCATTCTTTATATCAGGTTTATTTTTAGTGCCCTTTCCTTCACTAGCAGCCCATTTAAGCTCCATTTTCTGAGTTTGTGTGAGGCTTTCTGTGTCGTATCTCTTTTCAATGTCTGGCCAGACGTGTAGATGTTCTCTTTGTCCTCCTGGTTGCTGCTTGATCAGATATTGCTCCTCACGTTGTACATATTTTTGTATTTTTACAGCTAGTGTCTTGAGTATTTCATAACCAAGTCACAGTTTCAACACAGCTCATACATTATCCCCAAATGTTCCCATTTCCTAACACTCCCTGACTGGGTCTAATCAGTAGTCCTCTAGCACGGCTCTTGTGTTATTTAAACATTCATAGTATAATATAAGCTATAAACTACATAACTCGTGCTTTCCTGTGAGATCAGCCTATTTTCTCCCTCTCAGCCAGGCCCTTTGAGACAAATATGTGATTATGAGCTTTATAAATAAACTTGACTTGACGACTGCCATTGTTTTTTAATAATCAACACTCCAACAGAACAGTCATCGCTTTCTCAGTATCGTCATCATTGTCACCATCACTGCTGCTCCTGCTGACGATGAAGAGTGTCGACTGTGCATGCTAACAGTCGTCCTTCATCCTCAGCACTCCAGATCATTGCAGTCCTGCTGTTTAGCCTCCACTCTTTGATTTACTAAGCAGCTGTTGTCTCACACCCACTCCTCTACAATCTGGCCCCCGCTGGAGCCTCTGGTTCCTGGCCTCCATTCTCCTCCTGTGGACAAACACGGCTCCCTTGGGGGTATGATCTCTGTTTCACTTACTCCCCCTCCTCCAGCACAGACCAGACCGGTTCCTCTGTGCCGTTGCTACTTCTCCCTTCACCTCATTGTCTCCATGTCAAGCTGCGGGGAGCCCAACATGATGGAGAGTGACTTTTGGAGGGTCAGACGCCTGTTCTCCTTTGTCCCTTTTGAATGGGACTGGAAATTGGGCAACAGAAGAGGAGTCCAGATGTCTGTTGCAAGGCGTGACACAAAGAGGGGCCCCACAATGGCTTCAATCTCAGCTTCGGTGGAAGTGTGTAGCGTATTAAGGGCCACAAAGGCTAAACGGGCATAAAATAGAGGCATCTCAACAGGAGAGTGGCCGGAGTCTCGGAAGTGTCAGACAGGAATGGTCTCTTTTTCAACTTCAACTCAGAACCTCAGAGAAGCCATTATTAGGTACTCTGATATCACTTATATGGCTCTGATAGTCTGCTTTGATCTAGGAAGAGTTGTGCTCGGGCTGCATCCACCATTGTGGAGCTTCAGTTCTCTATTTCTTTCCATGGTTCAAAGAGCACCTTGGCTGTTTCTTTCTTCTTTTTAAAGTAGAAGTTGCAGTATCAGAGGGTGTAAACTTTAGCATAAGAGTCAGTCCGTTGTCCAACTGTTTTCAATGTGGCATAAGTAAACTTGGCATCAATGAATAATCAATAAAATCTTCACAGTTGAGAGAGTTTGTAGCAGGACAGGAAAACTGCTGCTTGAAAAACCCAGCAGGTTTGCAGCATTTGAATTAAAAGGGACAGATGCTGTTATTTAATCAGAGTCTAATGTTGTGCCCATTATGCATATTAGAGACCAGGCTTTATATTCATTCATTCAATTAAAATAAATTGCGGCATATGTGTATTTCAACAAAGTGCTCCAAATTCAAGAAAATATGGTTATGGTTAAGGTCTATGAAAAGATGATGAGTTAAAATGAGTACTGTGTTAAGGTTAGGGGACCTTTGTTGTCATGGTTCAGGCTGTTCTCATGCATTATTCATACTAATACCTACAAAAAGTAATTCATTATTATTCAAGTATAACCTGCGTCATTGTGAGATAGGAGGCTGTGATCATGTGACCTGCTCACTGCAGGCTGTTCGCCCTCATATGACAGCAGCAGGGTGAAGTCAGGTCACGTTCTATAAAGAGTGACAAAGACTGTGTAAGGAGGTAGTCAGGGTGGACGGATCAAATAAATACAGGACTTACCACCACATTCCAAAAGTCAGTGTTGAGTTTTTTTTTAAGTCATATACTTAACAATGTCACATCATCACATTATGTCGCTACTTCACTTCGTCTCGTCACTTCGTCACGTCACTTCGTCACGTCACTTCGTCACGTCACTTCGTCACGTCTTTTCGTCAACTTTACTTTGTCTCTTCACTTCGTCACGTCAATTCGTCTCATCACTTCATCTCGTCACTTCGTCACGTCACTTTGTCACGTCACTTTGTCACGTCACTTCATCATGTAATTTTGATCTAAAGAGCTGAAATCAAAAGATCAAAAAGCAACATCACTATGAACTCCTGGACACCATGAGTCAGTTATCCCTGTGGTTACTTTTCGGACACTTC